CGGGAAAAAGATATTCATATATATAAATTATAGATATTCATATATATATACTAATCTCCATTTCCTGATCTTAGAATAGGGAATTATATGTACTCAAATATATAAATTATATACAGAGAGAGAGAAAGAGAGACAAACACCCACCTTTTCCAAAGTGTGGGGTAAGGCTAGCAATGCGAGTTTGATTGTCCTGCTTTCACACATGAGGGCACAGATCCCCAGGGAGAGGAGGTGAAGTCCTCCAGTTCAGGCAGTTGGACAAGTACACCACGCCTCCGCAGTGCCCCGTGAAGGAGGGCAGACGCTGGTGCGCACCTGTCTGTGTAAGACGGAAGCCCACAGCTGTGCTGTATTCTGTGAGGCAGGTGAAGGAGGCGCGGGAAGGGACAGAAGGGCAAGTTACACATCAGAAAACATGCTGCCCACCCACAGTCTGCCCTTTGTCTTCCTTCCTGCCACACTGCGCCAGACGGTCTCTCTGTCACTGAGCTCATTCTACACTGGTCTCCCCCCTCCAGCCTCCAGTGGACCCCGAGCTCTCTTTGTACGACGACGATTTGCAGGAAGACGGCCCCAGCTACTGGGACTTAGAGCAGGTGAGCTGAGGGGCGCCTGGGAAGGTCAGGTGGGATGGGAGACTGGGAGAGGAGGGAAGGAAGGAAACCCTCTCAGACATAAAGTGTTTGCTGGGCTCTCTCACTTCCAAGCCAGATCTTCATTCTTCTCACTCCCTGAAAGGCATCATGGGGGAAGGGAGAGACACTGGACCAAGTCCTGGAAAACTAATATCTATTCTTAACTCTCCAACACATCAGCTACATGATCTTGGGCAAGCTACATAACTCCACTGAGCTCCAGTTTTTCTCATCTGTAAAACAAGGGAAATATCACTAATACTTGTCCATCTACAAGATGAGTAGGGGATTTATGTGTTCTTTCATTAATTCAGTAGGTATTTTATGGAGTTCCCACTACTTACCTGACACAGTTCCAGGGAGGCCATACAGCAGGGAACAAAATAAACAAAGACCCCTGCCCTCAGGACACATATTCTGGTAGAATCAGATGAATTCTAAGGGTTCGTGTGAATTATTAATGGGTATGAACTGGCCTTAAGAACTACATGCTTTGCAAATGTGAGGGGTTCCTATCTTCACAGGGCCCTAAGGCCCTGACATGAACATTAGCACTAACCCAATGCCCTGAATTAAAAGAAACCAGATGACTAGGTTTAATCTGGCTTCAGATCTATTAAAAATAATCTCTTCTTGTGCCTCTTCCCATTCCTTCTGACTTTGAGTTTTGTAGTCTCTGAGGGTGTTTATGGTATGTGGGAGACATTAGAAAATACAGCTGGAGCCACAAAGATCTGGCAGACTGATTTCTGTGCCCCCCTGGAATCCCTAACAAAAACCAAAGAACCAAACCCATTGCCTTGAGTCGATTCCGACTGATGATGACCCCATGTGTTACTGAGTAGAGCTATAATCTCTAACACTTTCCCAAAAACCTGGATAGGGCCAAAATAGCTTATTAGAGCAAGAAACGACTTCAGAGCTAATCTGTCCCATTCCCTCATTTTTCCAGATGAAAATTTTTAAGCTAAAAGGGGGGAGGAGGAATGTGGACGGTCACAGCACACAGGTGGGGGGTGGGGAATATTCTCATGTCAACGCTCTATAAGCTCACCGCCATGGCTGCTCACCCTGCCTTCCCCTGTGCCTACACACACACGCACACACACACTCATAGAAACACACTCACAGACTCACACTCACTTTCTCTCACACGCACACTCACGTACACACTCATGATGCTTCTTCCTGGCCAGTGGTCCATAGAGTCACATCTTGGCTTCCACCACTCTGAACCCATGAGGTCTAATGCCGCCCCCTGCCCTTTCCTTCCTGTAACCCCTGCAGGAAATGTTCGGGAGCATGTTTCACGCAGAGACTCTGACTGCCCTGTGAGGGCCCGGCCACTACCCATGCTACCTCCAGAGTGCCTGGCACCTGGGACTCATGGAGGGTGAGCCCAGGACCGCAGGGAGTGGTGGGTGGAAGGGAGCACGTTCACCAGGACTTCGGCTCCTCTCTGCCTCCTCCTCCTCTCTCCTTCCCCTGCCTCCCTCCTGGCATCTCTAGAAAAAGCCAATTTCAGCAGTGTGGACAAACTGCTCTTACAGGAGTGAGGGCCTGGGGAACCCATCTCTCCGCCCTGCCCCTGACCCTCAGGGCCCTGGCCAGCCATGAGCAAGCCTCCTGCTGACTCCACTCCACCCACCCAGGCTCTGCCCATGACAGCCAACAGAACCCCTAACTTCCAGGATTTTAGAGCGAGCCAAGAACAGAAGAGAAATTATGCCTGTGCTGACTTGGAGCATACGACTTGAAAGTGTCCTTGGGCCTGTGTGACTTGGTAGTGGAGGTTTTCAAGCTGCCACAGAGCACAGGGACCCCAGCTGCAGCCAGGGGGATTCATAACCACTGGGCACTGAGCTTGGTTAGGACTCCGTGGCTGACCCTGGCAGTTCCTCAGAACAATGTGCTCCCCACCAGCCCAGAGCCGCTGTCCCTTTCCTCTTCGCCCCAAGGCTGCTGAGAGCACCACAGCTATGCAGCACATCAGACTCTAGCCTGGGGAGTGGCCAGGGTCCTCAAGACCACCAGAGCTATCTCCCAGGGGCAGCACCCCACCTCACCAAGGTAGCTGCCTCAGCCTCCTGAAACATTATCAGTGCCCCTGCCCTCGGGGGCTACACCCTTCCTCTGGAAGCTGGGTAGAAACCCAAAAGCGGGGGAGATTCAGCCACTGGCAGAATCCTCTGGCAACCTACCAATAGATACCAGTTATTTTGCATAAAGCCTTTCGGAAATTCCTCTTTGTACCTGAGACTTGGCGGGGGAAGGAGGTACTAGTGCCAACCCAGGGCAAACTGGTGAGAGCTGGGTGCTGACAGTTCTCCTGACCTCAGGACCCATCAGGGAAATTTCTCCTCTCCTCGGGAAATCTGCCTTTGACTTCACTTGGCAAAGAGCCAGTCATTTGACTCATCAGCTCCTGGCCCAGGACCACCTTCCAGGGAGGATGCCCTCTAGGGACCAGCTGAGTCCCCCAGCTGGGTGCAGACCCATGGAGAGGGGCTGATCCAGGTGGGGGCTTCCTCCACAGGGATTCCCCAACAAACTCAGGACCTGGGGCCATCTCCTTCTAGGAAAGCTGAGAATGGAGGTCAAGTTCTCTACGCTATAGGGAGGGAACTAGAGGAAACCCCACAGTTAACTTGAAAATAAATAGGTTCCAAGTATAAGTGTTTTGTAAAATTTCCATGGAAATGCACAGAAAAACTTCTGGCCTCTCCCCACTGCTTCTCCCAAACTCCTTCAACTTAACGGCCCCTGCCCCAACAGGTTGGGCTGGCCCAGCCTGGAAAAAGCTCCCCCATTCCTACCTTCAGCCTGACCTGCATTGTGTGCCTGTGTGTTGAGTGAACCAGTCTGCTAGCAAGTCTTCTAACAGGAGTGGGTACTGGCAAAGGGCCAACACATTCTTGGCCTAAGAGTATTGCTTCTCTGTGAATTCATTATGCCATCTGGCTGCCAATGGAACTCAAAAGTTGGAAGGCGGAAGACAATGTTATCTGGGATTCACCATGCCCAGCACCCGAAGTGCCAAATTCCAGGAGGACAAGAACCTTAACCAATGACAACTCACGCTCCCCTACTCCACCTCCTTCAAAGTCCAGCTGAGGCCCAGAAGTCGGGGGAAGGTCACAAAGCCTCCAGACATCCCAAGTCAGAGGCCCCTTGAGGACTTGATGAAGTGACAGTTAACCCCTAGGCTACCCCCAGAACTGAAGGGGCTTTTTGAGTCATAATGACCTGGAGTTAGTGAGGGCTTAGGGGGAATCCTACAACACATCCAAGGGTATGAAGTACTCACCTAGACCACTGCAGAGGTAAGATTGGAAGCACTCGGGGCAGAGGGGAGACATCAAAGAAAACTTCACTGTTAGAATATTTCGAAAAGAATACAAACATATTCACATAGACCACTCTTCTGGACATGATCGAGGCAGGAGGAGGGGCAATACAGCAAAAGAATCCAGAATGTCAATGCTTTTGAATGTTCTTAATGATGCTAACCTGCGATGATGTGTTTCCCGGGGAGGACCGGGACTCGAGATATTTGCGTAATTTATTTAATTTAAATGCCATTCTTCTTTTGTTCATTTTGGTAATAAAGTGGTTTTGAAATGTGAATGAATGAACGTGTTTGGGTGGTTTTATGGAGAGGCAAAAAAGAACCACCGCCACGTGGTCTTGCTTGGTGCTATCCCGCGGCAGGAGCAAAGAGGAGGTAAGATCTCTTCATGAGTCTCCCAGCTCCTGTCTAGATACTAGACACTCCTGGGAATGAAGAAGCTTTCACAGCCCATCTGAAGAGCAGAGGTGTGGGAGAGGAGACAGGCCTAAGGGATCCACATACCCAGGACAGTTCCCAGAGTCAGCTCTGGCTTTTGTGGCTATGTTGTTTTTGTTAATCGGCTCCCATGGTGACCTTATATAAAACAGAACAAAACGTTGCCCAGTCCTGTGCCATCTTCATGATGACTGGTATATTTGAGTTCATTGTTCTGGCTATTGTGTCAATCCATGTCATTAGGGTTTCCCTCATTTTCGCTGACTCTCTACTTTACTAAACATGATGTCTTTTTCTAGCAATTGGTCTTTCCTGATGATGTGTCCAAAGTAATCCTGTGAAAGTCTTGCCATCTCACTTCTAAGGAACATTCTGGTTGTATTTCTTCTATGACTGATTTGTTCATTCTTTTGGCCGTCCAAGGTATATTCAGTATTCTTCACCAACACTACAGTTTGAATGCATCAATTCTTCTTCTGCCTTCCTTCTTCATTGTGTGACTATAAGGGAAGTCAAACTCCCATCACCCCTTCTGGTCACACTTCTTCACTCATAACTCCTCAACATTCATGAGATGTCTATTAAGGACCAGTCTCAACAATACTCAGAAAAGCTTTCAGAGTCCTTAGCTCTAGGGAATGCACAATCTAATCCCACCTTCTTCTCCCTTGCTTGTGAGACACATTAAAGGAGTAAGACCACCAGACTAAAGTGTCTAGTGAGCTGGTTAAGTCTCAACTTTGTTTACTAGCCATAGTAAATGGAGGAGCATGAGAAAAATCACAGAAAAACAAAGAGCAAAGGAGTGAAGGAGGCAGAAACAGGATTAAGTGGAAAGAGATGAAAAAATAGGGATAAGACAAAGCAAAGGAAGGAGGGAGATGAATGAGCATTGGGATTGAGATACAAAGATGATGGGAGAGCTAGAAAGGGGAGAAATGGGCCAAGGAAGGAGGAGGGAATACTGCAGAGGTGTAGAAGTCAGGGAGTTCCAAAATGATATTTATTTAAGATAAACTAGTCTTGCTTTTGGGGTCCCTGGGTGGTGCAGTTAATGTCGTAGGCTGTTAACTGAAATTCTGGAGGTTGGGTCAGACTAGAAGTGCCTCAGAAGAAAGTCCTGGTGAGCTACTTCCAAAAGATCAGCCATTGAAAACACTATGGAGCACAGTTCTACTCTAACACACATGGGGTCACCATGAGTCGAAATCAACTCAATGGCAACTGGTGGTGGTGGTAGTATGGCGCTTTATCCTGCTATTCAGTTGGCCCATGGACTTTACGTAAATTAGCAATTAGCATCCCTCCCATTTGAGCTTTAGATTATTTTTTAATGATGTTATCTCAGCCTGGGTGTCCCTGAGAACAGAACCTGAGACAAAAGCTTGTGTACAAGCTATTAAGGAAGTGATCCCAGGGAGCAGAAGTGAAGGACAGGAGGAGTGAAACAGGGAAGGAGAGACCAGAATGAGTGACTGAGGTAGCCACTGCTTCAGGCAACTGGGGCTGCATTCCACCGGGCACTCTGAGGAGCCCTGTGAAATGATGCTCCGAACTGCCCTAGAGAAACGTTTAACCATTGCTCCTGTGGTCCCACAGGTATTAGCTTCCCAACAATTCAGAGTTGCATGGATATGAGTGCAGAGCAGTTCCCAAGGTATCCCACACTGTGGCATCAGAGACATCCCAGGGCAGGAAGGGAGAAGCAGTGCAAGGCTCCAGGGACAGGCTGGCAGGTGAGCCTGCTCAGAACTGTTACCCCAACATACTTAATAAAAGAGTTTTGAGTGGCACATTGTTATTGTTATCTGTCATTGAGTTGGCCTCCAACTCTTGGTGACCCCATGCACAATGGAACGAAAAGCTGCCTCGTCCTGCTCCATTCTCATGATGGGTTGTGGATCAGACCACTGGGATCCACACGGTCTTCACTAGCTGATTTTCAGAAATAGATCACCAGGCCTTCCCCCAGTCTTTCTTAGTCTGGAAGCACCACTGAAATCCGTTCAGAATCATAACAACATGCAAGCCTCCATTGTCAGACAGGTGGTGGCTGTGCTCGAGGTGCATCATCTGAAAATCGAACCCGTGAATCCCGCATGGAAGGCAAGAATTCTATCACTGAGCCACCAATGCCCTCAAGTGGCACATTAGAGGGATCTAAATCTGATGCATTTCTTTAATTTCTCATCTTTAAAAGCCATTTTTACCTATAGTTGCAGAACTACAATGCTCTTTAGGAGTCTTTAGAAGTAGTAACCTAAACATCCATAAGATGGCCATCTCACCATTTAAAACCAGAGTGGAGTACTTTTAAGACTGAGTCCCTGAACTTGTTCAAGAAGAGGTAAGCCAACCACCTGCCAGGGATGTCAAAGGAGCCTCAGCTCTAGATAGCAGATTGTCCAAGATGACACGGAAGGCGCTTTCTGACTCTAAGGCTCTAGAAAAGTAGATTATTTAGAATTATGTAACCTACATACTACTTTCCAGACTTGAAAGTGAACACTTTCCTTCAACATAAATAAAAAAGAGAAGAAATTTTTTT